CTAGGAATCTAGTGAACTAACAAAAAGATCTGGAATGTCCAAGTGCAGTTTTTTTGCGCTCCAATCCAATCCAGGTACTTTCATGTTGACTACTGGCTGATACCGATACAATATTTATATTTCTCATAGCTATTACAGCCACACAATTAGGTAAGATGTGCTACTCTGATAATTAACACTGCAGTAAAATCATGTAAAGTGATTTGTTTTTTCACCTACTTTTATACCACCATTTTATAGTGTGTTTCATATTAATTATGATTGACCTTCCTGACGATTTGGCCAACACTTACTTCAAAATGCTGCAGGAAAATGACTTCCTTTTTGCTATGATGGTATTCAGTCTAAATTAAGGAAGGGATAATATTCAAATTTGTAAGACGATTTTCCAAAATATTAGATTTTGTAACACAACATTAGAAAAATATTCGAACAATCCTTAAATCAGCTCTAGACTGCCCTCTGGTGGAAAATAGAGACCAAAGTTAGCAATCTCATGGGTCTGAGCTTAAAACATATTAAAGAGAAGCTAATTTGCATATCAACAATCTAAAGTCTAATTTACATTACATCCCTAGTCTGAATATGACATTTGGTTTTATTCAGTTGTGACAAACAGGTCTGCAGATATTTAAACCGCTTTGTTACTCTCCAAAAACGTGCCGCACTGCCGCAGGTTGTGGATAACGTCTATAGACGGCAACTCTGCGAAAGTAGCATAAAAAATGTGTTTGAGCAGGGAAGAAACAAAAGCATCAGAAGGGGATTGTGATTGGAGCCACCCCAGCCTTATTTTAACTAATTTCCGACCAACTTCCAATCCTTTGGTTTCTTCCCCGCCCACACAAACGTTTTGCACTACTGTCACAGAGGTGCTGTTCACAGACACTATCCTGAAACAGACAGTAAAAAACGTGGTTTAAACATCTGATTATTAGATTAGATCACAATATCCCTAAAATAGATATTTTTACACTGTACATTTGATTGAGCAAAGGGAATAAGTGAGTTTGTTGCATGAGAAACTTTGAATCTACTCCAACTAATCACCAAGCACCACATTGGGAAGATGACACCTTCAAAAACATCAAAATACACTAAAAGGTGCAAAAACAGTCTTGGCACACTAATATGAACATATTTAGCAAACTGCAACACAGTTGAAGCACAAACAGATGCACATGAGAGCCAGCATGTCTGTATTCTCCTGAGTAAAACATGTCCCCAGACACCTAGGCCTTATGATGTATCTGAAGTCTGATATAGCAGAATCAAACATCAGATGGTACAATCATCACCTTTGACAATGCGCAGTTAAATGCATGATTTGACATTGATAAGATGAGACGCTATGTTCTTGCTGTCACTGCTGTCAGAAAGTTGAAACTGGAACATACGAGAGACTGGAATTTATAATGCATACGTCACAGGGCAGAACAAGTCAGAAAAAATCTGATCTGCCATCAGAAAATAAAATACAGGATTGAAGGGTAGGGGGGCTTTGCTTTTTAAACTACAGTACCTGAGAAAGACTTGAGTTTAGTGGAGCTGTGAGACAAAGTGAAAGAACAAAAAGGCAGATGACGAAAAATAGCCTTTTTTCTCCTCTCAATCCAACAACACAAGTTTTCTTGATCATAACGGAGGGTCCTTGTAAGAGATGCATTCACAGTGCTTGATCTTCCTAAAACATGTTTCACAGACAGGCAGTGTTTAGCAAGAAGAGTCGTGATCTTTTTTTCTTTATTTTGTTCTCTTCAGTAACAAACATGCGGCGGTAAGGCTTGTCAGAGTGACTGCGTTTGTGGGCGAAATGAAGGCGACTGCACCAGAGTGCTAATGAGAAATCCAGTCTGTGGGTCTCTTTTACCCAACGCTGAGTGCGTTCACACCGTGATGCTAACGGAACTGCTTTCAGGTGTTAAGATGAGCTTAAGCAGAGGAAAGGGAAGAACAGAGTGTGCTGTCAGTTTGGAGTGTCGGACATCTTTTCATTGTCAGAAGTAACAACCATAGGGCCAACTTGTGTACTTATAAAGAGGAAACCATTTATGTCTTTTTGCCATTTAAGTACGCTTTCAAGAGAACCGGGGACAGAGCCATTTGAAGCAGCAAGCAGCCATTTTTATATTATATATTCTATAGGGAAAGGAGGGAGAATGGAGGGGATATAATAAATGACACTGTAGGGTAGGCCTGGGCAATAGGGCAATGTAATCGGATACTGTCGATGATTGACATGTAACCCGATGATGCTAAAAAGGCGATATTTGCCATGTTGGGAAACTGACAGAGAAGTAGAGAGGACTAATTTACCATCAAACAGCTTCCTAAATATGTTGAGGAATTGGGCTTCATGTTCCTTTAAGAAGTGTTCATGCTCATGTCACAATAGTCGAGAGAGAGAGAGAGAGAGAGAGAGAGAGAGAGAGAGAGAAAGAGAGAGAGAGAGTGAGCAAGAGAGTGAGTGGGGAGTTTAAGGACCTGCCTGTTAGTTCTCTCTGCTATGCACGGTATGCTACCCTTACCTTCCCCACGACTCTCCCCTCTCTACTTATTTTAGTTAACGTTAAAAGTTTAGCTTGAGTGCATAAAATCCAAATGGAATTTCAACTTGCTTCAGTGTGACTCGCTACAGTAAAACAACCAAGCCAAAGTGACTGTTGTGAATTATGAAAATTGCGAAAATATAATACAACAGCTTTTCAAAGGCATCTATAGCCAAATTCCAAAGTGACTCTCTTATAACAAGAAATCGCCTCATTTTTCACTATTACTATTTTTTATGTCATCACTTGCAAATCACTTGCAGTTTGAACTTCCTCCAGCAGGGCACAGCACTATTAACACACAAGTCAGCATAAATCTACACCAGAAGGACCTCATGAACACATGTGTTTGCAGAAACGTCTTTTAAAATGATAGGTAAAGTAGTTTGGAAAAGATGTTGGGTTACTCAGTATTATATTACTCGATGTGTGATTTTTAAGATGTTCATTGTAAAAAAGCATATAAATTCAAAATTGAATAGAAAGAAAGCCAAAGCTTTAGGGGTAGAGGGCGATACATCTGATATTCACAATTTTTTTCACTAACAAATATTGTGCTAATTATTTCTACATAGCACCAAGGCCTACTGCACTACACATTTCAGTTCCTGCCGAGGTCCAAATCTGTGTGTTCCTTCTGTTTCTCTTCTGTATGCTAATGCTAGATACACATTTTGGTCATGTTTCCTATTAGAATAATCAGTCTCCAGCAGTGATCCATCGTCTCTCCTCCCCCACAGTGTAGTTAATGCAACCCTTCATCAAAGTCTCATGGAAAAGGAATACTGTTCAGTCTGCCATTAATGAACGGCCAACTGCTGCAAGTGTCTCTCTGAAGTTCACTCACCAAAAACCCCTAAAACCTCCGCACCAAGGTGAGCCGGCACAAGACATCATGTTCACGTTGAGGGATGTTTTCAGCTAGATGCTGTGGCAATATTTAGTGTGGGGGAAGAGGGGGATGTGAGTCTTTGTTGTAAGATGAATAACAAGCAAGCCAACTAAACGAACTCTGTCCCTGGGACACCGCAGGCGTTAATCAGAAGACGAGACAGAAACAAAACGGATTAATCAAACGAGCAGCAGCAGCTACGCGTCGCCCGTAGTGGCACTGGAGCCGGACGACACATGCTAAAAGCGAGATTGGATTGGTTAGTGGAGTTTTTTTAACCTTGCGAACAAACGAGGAGGTGCGGAGAGCGTGAGTAATGGCCACGCTCCGTCGTCACCACGCAAGGTCGATCGTGGATCATTCCGGCGGCGACACTCACGGCCAGAACGTGCCCAAACGCCCAGCGAGGAGCTAATAGAAATCATGACGTTTCATGAATTACACCAATAAAGGATGTAGAGAGGATGAAAACAGTTTACCATCACTTCCCTCTCTCTCTCTCTCTCTCTCTCTCTCTCTCTCTCTCTGTCCTTTTATGGACGGCAGAGGGCTTATTGGCCAACACTAGCCTTCAAAATTAGTCATGCTGCTTTGCATAGTCTGCCAAATTAACTGTAATAACTTTATCTACAAAAACACACATGACTTTCTCACCCTCTTTATCTACTGGATTCTTGTAATCAGAGTTACGGAAATGCTTCAAATGAAAAACTACTCTGAACAACAGAAGGAGTAATAAAAAGGGATTCGAAGATTCTTGTACCTTCTTTCCGTTTTGTTTTCAAGCTGGTTTTACATCGGCTGGCTTAACTAAACGTTTTTGTTTAATGAATTATTTTAAACATGTAGGCAGCCTGGAAGACAGAAGTCATCAACACAGACATCAGCTTATTTTTGATGTTTACACTCACTTATTTTCACTGTACTAAAAAAAGGCTACTGACAAAATCCCAGGGCCACAAGAAATGTACACTAGCTAATGAGCATCTGTTTCATTTTTTTCCCCTCATCCCTCCTTTGCTCTTGCTTCTCCACCTCCCTGCCCACAGCCTGCAGCATCCCACCCCTGCCTGGGCAAACTGCATTTAAACAACAAGAAGCGTTCAATTAAAGTAGCTTCAATTGTCAAAAAACTGCCTTAATTATTCAAAAATTATTTACGGCTCCCTCCTCTTGGTGGAGCGTCCTGGCTCGTGCTCGTGGTTCAAATATGGGCGAACAGCAGGAGAGCTTGTCACGATTGGCATCAAACAATTAAGAGGCAGGAGGGAGAACCTCCAGCATGGCACCCATCAGAAATAAATATTAATGCCTCCCAGCATGCATTGCTGCTGGAAGCTCACACCACAGTACTCTGTGCAGGAGTTAGATACTAGCCAAATGTCAAAGGTCAGGTGAGGTGGGTAGCTGGGTCAGATGGGAGAGAGAGAGCTGTGTGTATGTGTTTGCGTGTGGGGGTGGGTGCAGATGTGGATAAGATTAAATTTAAAAGATGAAGAAATACGGCAGACTGTCCAGAAAATGGTTTAAGAAAGGAAAAGTGTGAGTTTGAGTTGTACCTGACTGGATTGCTGGTGAGGGACACTCTGAGGGAATCCAAGCAAGCAAACAGCTTCTCGTCTGTAACTCCACTTTTCAGCTCACTGAGAAACTCCTGAGGAGATATCTGGCTGCTGCTCTTCAGACTTCCCTGAGAGAGAGCAAGAGAGGGAGAGAAATATCAAACATGGGAATCTTCAGCTTTGATTTGAAATGCTCTGCTTTTGATATTATCCAACCTGTTTCTTGATGTTACTGAACTTCTTACCTTCCATGTTCTCATACCACCCTAATTTACTTTAAGGGTTTTGTTTCCTTAATTTATTTACAATCAAATCAGACACTGAGCATGAGTTATTCATTTTTCAGTGTCAGGAAAAAAGCATAAAACATATTTAACTGAAAATTACACAAAAGGCTCAACAACTAAATATCTCTTTTTTTAATATTTAGTGTATCCACATTTTATTTATATGACAACTTTCATTCTTTTCAGGAAACTTGCTTTCAGTAAAATGTAGGGACATTTTTCCAGACCTCCAAAGTTCAGTCTTGGAAACTGGTTGCATGTTCTGCTTCACACAATCCAAATAATCCCAAACATATTCAGTGATGTTGAGGTCTGGACTCTGGGGTGGTTATCTATTGTTCTGAGAATACCAGCAGCTGTGTTTATTCTTACACGTTTGACTTTTTTGTCTACTTTCTTTTCTCAGTAACAGCTTCTTGGCAGCTACACAGCCTTTCAGTCCCATAACATTGAGCTGTCTTCTCTTAGTGGAAGGATGGTCAGATTTTGTTTTTAGATCCGAAGCAAGCAAGGAGCTTTATTCTTTATTAGCTTTCATAGATGTGCTGTGTCTGACAGTGAAAGTTTTAGTGGTCTACCATAATTGTGTGAACTTTTAGAAACAATTTCCCCGCTCGTCCCACTTATTTTCCTTTAACTCTCCCTTTCCTTGCGAGAAGATTATCTAGTATTTATCTAGTAGTCGCCTCAGAAAAATCTCCTGAAAAATGAACTGATACTGGAAATTGAATAAATGAAATGCAGTCTTTAACTTTGTACAGCACTGGATATCTGACACAGAGTGCCTGTTCTGTTCTGTTCTGATCCTACATTTGTAGATTTATTTAAGCAAGAGAACATGAGAGGGAGTGCGTTATCGCGAAATAACATCACGAATGTGATTTCGGCCTATGCCGTAGATCATCACAGCCGTGATGTTATTCGCAATAACACACGACCTCAAGTGTTCTATTGCTTTTATACAACATTTAAAAAAAGTAAGAAATGAACAATTTGGGTCATGAACGTGGCATTTAATATGTTTTAATGTTAGCAGTTCCTTCCGCCAAATTATAGTTCCTTAACAAGCAGCATGTTGCTACGTCAGAGTAACGAGCTCCGCTGACTCGCTGCACAGCCAGCAGTTCGTTCTCCAGCTCCTTACACTAAGTTCCCAAACTGTCATCACCACTGAGCAAGCTTTTCAGTTGGCAGCTGTGACAGAAGAACACCTAAACAACCTGGAATTAGCCAGAAATGAACCGAATACCATTTGCCAAACGTGTAGTCTCATCTTTTGAGTCTGACCAAATCAGCTGTCGGTCAAATGTAATCTTAAAAGTATCCATTTTCTGTTTGTGCAAAGTAAGAAGTAAAAACGTTCAAATGGCTTGAGCGTCTCCTACAGCTGTCAAAGTCATCTCAGTGGAGTGATTCAGTTTGCGTGGCCAGAACTAACTGTTGTATGAAATACAATATATAATTTTAACCCCACTATCTGGTACAGCCCCTGAGGACGATGCGTTTTCCTTTTGAGTTGGTTCCTCTCAGTCTTTCTTGCTCATGCCAATGTTTTTCCTGCCACTGTCACCCTCAGCTGGCTCATTAAGGGTCTGGAACCAGACTTCTGTAAATCTGGTTCTACAAGGTGCATAAAAACAAAATTACTTAAATAAAGAAAAAATACTACTTATATAAACCTTTTTCTTAAAACATATTTACTCAAACTACTCATGTAAAAATAATAACTATTATTCCACTCACTACTCTGCAACAAGAAGACAGAGGAAAAGGAAAAAAAAGAAAAATGAAATGATAAGGATGACAATAGAGAGCACTTATTGATTGTTTCATGTTTATATACACGTTCTGCATGGTTATTTATTAATTTCAAGAAGTTGTCTTAGAGATTTCCATTTCTTGGTTGTTTTGTAATGTTTTGCTCCTTGTTTTCTAATTGTCTGATTTAAAAGTCTTTTCATTTCCAAACAGTTTTCTAACACATGCCAGATCATTTGGCTGCTGTATGCCAAATGCTAATGGAAGACTCGGCGGCTGTTAGCAAACACAAATTAGTATTTTACTCAGGAACACATTCTGCAGTTAATGACGAGATAAAATTTTAAATATTGGCATAACTAATCTCACAGAGACGTGTACCCTGAAAACAATGAATAAACAGAGTGCTTTAATATTACTAGAAATACACCGAAAATCTCTCCTCTCTTTGTGAAATACAGCTGCACTAATTGTTCCACAGTTCATAGTGAATTTGGAGTGGTAAGTCAGATCTGAGGAAGGTCTCTCCTTGTTTTATTAGGTGTTTAGGCATAATAATCACTTGGAAAAAATGACACGCATACAGAGTAGTCCATCTGTAACTGGACAGTGGTAACTTGTGTTTCTTTGGCTTGTACTTTTTCCAGATCCTCTGCTCATCAGTTTACTGGTTATTCCTCTTCATCCCTCACACAAAAGCACCTTCAAAAGCATATTGCAGATCTACACTGTATTTTAAGAAGTTTTCACAAGTTTGGCCACCAGGTCACACGTTTACTTGGAGCGTGAATTCTTTTCAACACGTGTTTAGGTGTGCAGGTCTCCATGCCATTCACTGAGGTGGAATTCAAGCGATGTGATGAACGCCCACAAGCAAAACATGGTACGGTCGTGACGAGAATACATTTTCAGATCTGCCGTTGTGAAAGGTCTTCACAGACACTGCGCTCTAATGAGGAAATGGATTATGCATGATGTGTACAAGCAGATATGTGTTTTTACCTTTTTTGCAGAGGACTGCTTTATCTAAAGAGCCAATGGACAGGAACAAATTACTTTTGTTTACTACTTAACAGAAAAAATTACAATTCCTATCAAAATAAGACGTCCTCTTGCTAGCAGGCAACATGCAACGAAGACAGAATGCAAAACTCTACCCTTCCACCTCAAACTCTCTCTCTCTAGACCATACTTTACACACCGCTTCTCATTAACAGATGCTTTACAAAGTACAGGGAGAAGGAGATATTCACACTTTGTAGAGTGTGAAGACCTTGAGGGCATTCTAAAAGCAGAAACAAAAAGACAGTAGGGGGAAAGTGGGGAAAAACAGTTAGGGAAAGAGGACAAGGGGGTGGATTTCCTGAGGGGTTTGAGAAGAGGAGGACAATAAATGAATACTCCAATCTTTCCATCCATCGAAGAACAACTGTGAATTGCTCCCGCAATGTGTTGTGTCACCCAAAACTGCTGGCTGTGTTTTTTACCCAACCAAATACTGTGCACACACTACAGTGACTGTTGGGGGTGGTTGGGGGGGATAGAGCAAGCAAGAAAACAAGAAAGCAAACAAGAATAAAGAAAGCAAGAATGAAGGAGATAACCTCCTTCGGTACAAGGGGTGGGGAAAAAAAAAGATTCTTAGACACAAAATTCTGCAGGATCTCCAGAAAGGCATGCATGTTTGCATGTTTGGTCACCATTTTCATGTATATGAAACAAAATGCCTGAAACCATAGTGGGTTTGTTGAATAATTGCCATTGGAAATTCTGCCATTACTGTATTAAATTAATGCCATATCGAGGCCACAGAAAGCCACAGTAAATCACATTTACAGAAATTTAAAACAGAGAAATTTAAACAGCAAATGCTAATGGCATGTTACCTCAACTAACTTTACCCTCGTATCTTTCAGCTTGGAAACAAAATTTGTGAAGAGGTAGTAAACTGACGCCAAATATGATGAATTATGATAAAAGTTTATGTGAGTAGAGTGTAAAAATGAACTCGCATTTCTTCTATAGCAGCACTGTGTATCGTATGTGCTATGTAATGCTACGTTGCCCTACACTCAGTGTGTGGTGGCCTGAATACTACTTGAGAATAACAAATAGGGGAAAATCATAACATAGGCAGTAGTGGATGGTATAGTATAGTGTGTAACACCTTTGCCTTCTATGCTGTAGACTGGGGTTCAATCCCCTGCCTGGGCAAGCACCCTACATTATACCAATAAGAGTCTTTGGGCAAGACTCCTAACACTACCTTCACCCACCCGTGGAAAATGACCAAATTGTAAGTCGCTCTAGATAAGAGCGTCTGCCAAATGCCGTTAACGTAACATAGGCAGCAAACCAGAGACAGACAACAAAACTCTGAAACCAAGCAGAATTGAAAGGTGAGGTGTGTAGATATTCCCACATCTATTAGGTACTGAGCATACTGTGGATCCAGTCAGCGTTAAAGAAAACTGATTAACTATGTTTCATTATAAAGTGAGCATTTTTAGCCCTGTTTAATTTGATATAGTACGGTGCAGCTTGTAAGACACTAAATAAAAATCACTGTAGTTTTATCCAAATATACCTCATATCTTCTCTTCAATCATCTGCTCCTTCAAAAAGCTCCTTCTTTCTCATAATTCGTTTGGTACGGCACTTTCACTGTCTGCTTTTCTCACTTTAATATTACCCTACATGCTCTCCTTTCTTTCATAGTATAAGTTGTTTTTCCATTTTTTTCCTTTCTTAAAAACAGCAAGGACAGGAGCATGGGCAGTGGGAGGTGGATACGGCCAGCCACTCCAAGCTGGCTGTCTCGCCGTAGGCCCATCCTATCCCATGGTGCACTGGGCCCACGGACCGCTCCCTCATCCACCTCCGCCACAGGAGAACAAGGTCTTAATCACCAGGTACATGAGGTGCAGCTGCTCCCCACAAAAGAGTCACTCCGCTTCCTATTCTTCCCTTCTCTCTCACTTTCGCCTTACTTTCTCTCTTTCTCTTTTCCCTGCCATCTTTTTTTGTCAGCTCTCTCATTCTCTTTTTAGCAAACAGAACTCCTTTGTCACCATAGCGACTGC